CGCAGAGTCTCCACTCCCCGCCTCACCCGGCGCCCCCTGCCCCTCGCCGCTAACCCCTGTCCCTTCCCTAAGCTCCCTGGCCCCCTCCCTCCTGCATCCATCAGGCCACTGGTAGAGGGTCACTCCCTCCACCGCCACCTGCTCCTCTCTGCTGCCGCCCTGGGCGTCCTGCCTCCCTGCTGTCCTCCTCAGCATCACTGCTCAGCCCTGTCTGGCCCATTTCTGGCTTTTTGCTTCCACTTTTAACCCCAGCCACCCATCCCACCGGCTTCCCTGCTGGCCCAGAGGGTCAAGAATCCGCCTGCAAAGCAGGAGACACAGGTTTGATTCCTGGGTTGGGAAGATCCCCTGGAGGAGGACATGGCAACCCACTCCAGTATCCTTGCCTGGACAATCCCAGGGTCAGAGGAGCCTGGTGGGCTACAGTCCATGGGGTCACAAAGAATCCAGGAAGGACTGAGCGACTAAGCACAGCAGAGCACAGCACCCCCCTACACCCCACGCCCTGACCTCAGTTCTCCATGCAGTAGCAGAGCGTCCTTTTAAAATTGGAAATCAGGGACTTCTCTGGCAGTCCAGTGATGAGGACTCTGCACTTTCATGGCAAGAGGCACAGGTTCAACCCTGGCTGGGAACTAAGATCCCATGTACCCTGCTCAGCCAAAAAAAAAAACCTGGAAATCAGACCTAGCCAGGCTCCTCTCCGACGTGGCTTCCCTCATTTTCTGGATAAGGTCCAAAGTCAGCCCCCCATCCCCACCCCACCCCCACCCCCTGACATGGCCCTGCCTGTCCTCCTCTTCCCTTAGTACCCATCTTCCAACCTGCTCTCCAGACTCCTTCAATACGTCCAGCTAAGGCCGGGCTGGGGGTCTTGCCTCTGGCCCCCCTGCCTCTCCAGTCTCCCCTTAAGATGTCCAGGTGGCTCCCCTCAGATTCCCTCTCTGCTCTCATGTCCCCTCATAACACAGCCCTTCCCTGCCCCTGCCTCTTCACCACATCCCAGGGTCTGCGCTCCTGTGCGGTCCACACACGTACATGACATCACAGGTATGTTTCACAGGCCCGTTTCCTGCTGTGGCCTACACTAGAAGGTACATTCTGCACCAGGGACTTGTTGGTCTGAATCAATTACTTCTTCATTCCCAGAGCTAACAACATTGACACGTAATAGGCTCTCGATAAATACGTAGATGAACCAAGGATTTAAAAATTATATAAATACTTTCAACATTTTCTTTTATCTTAAAACACATACATGGTAATTTACTCACCAATATTTTGACCCAGGGCTGAAGTCTTTCTTTGAGTGATGCCCTCACTGGGAAATCTTGCTGTCTCGCTCTTTGCGTAAATCACATATGTAATGAATTATCTACAATTTCGGATTTTGTTTTCTTTAAAGGGGTTGGAAATCTTAAAGACTGTTGAAAAACAATTTCAGTACAGAATCCTTCTGTTCTTAATTTCCCCCGGTGTCCCCTACACCTAATTTAAAGCAAATATTGTTACCGTTATTGCATCTTTTCAGATCATTCAACTGAGCTTTCAAAGAAGCAACTCTCCCTTCCAAACTCATTATACTTATATACATAACATATAATTGACTTATGTAGTAGGTAATCACATGTCTTAAGCATATTATCATGAACTTCAGGCATCAGCTGATTTAGGAATAAACAAAGCTCCCCTCAAAGGTATGCAGATGAGTTGGAGAGATTACAGGTTCATTTGCACCTGCCAGCCAGTTTGCTCTAGTGAGACTTCGAGCAGAGGTGGAAGACTCCTTCTGTAGAATGCAAGTCCCTGAAGCAAGCACATGGCCGTTGTGATGGAAACCAGTCTGGCGCCATGGGAGAGAATCAGAAAAGCAACCTGAGGGCAGCAAGATGGAGTGAAGGGGCTTCCTATGTGGCTCAGTGGTAGAGAATCCACCTGCCAATGAAGGAGACTCAGGAGACGTGGGTTTGGTCCCTGGGTCAGGAGGACCCCTGGAGAAGGAAATGGCAACCCACTCCAGTATTCTTGCCTGGAAAATGCCATGGACGGAGGAGTCTGGCAGGCTACTGTCCATGGGGTCGCAAAGAGTCAGACACAAATGAGCGAGTGAGGATGCTCACACAAGGTTACTGAGGAGTAAATGAGATAGTATGTCAGGGGTCTGGTTCAGTAAACGTTAGTTCCCTTATTCAACTCTTCAGTAGTCTATGAGGAACCCTGTGTTTTCATGGCTGTGTACTCAATCAAATTATGAATTCCCTGTATCTGCAAAGTAAATTTTAATAACATAGTAGTACTTCTCTTGACCTGTCTGCACATTGCCTACACTTGTCTCCTACCTACCGATGGGAAGGTTAGCCTCAACCGTGGGTCTCCTGTCCCCACGCTCCTGGTCTGGTCACTCACTGACACCCTCTTCCAAAGGCCCCCTGCTGGGGTCCCAGCCTGGTGGGTTCACACACACACGCACACACCTTGGTCATGGGAAGTTTTCTCCCCTCCCACCTTCTCAGATGTGTGGGCCTCAGAAGCTCCTGGGCTCTGGCCCGCCATCCCACAACTCAGTTCAGATGTAGGATCAGTCATGAGCTCTAAAAGCAAAGGTAAATGTTTATCATCCTTCAGGTAAAATTTTCACTGCAGCTTTCAAGGCAATTTTCAAATCCTGCTTGGGAATGAGGAGGGTGGAGTTTGAGGCCCACATCTGTCCCTCTGGGGCGTGTGTTTATGACACCCGTTTTCATCAGACAAGAGCCACCAACCCCCCCCGCCCTGCCCTAATGGATGGAACCACAGTCATTGTGACGAGGATGTGAGCCAGTTCTGCTGATTTGACTCCCGTTCTGGAGTCCTTTTCTGAATGACCTGATAATCTGTCACTTAGTCACTCAGTCATGTCTCTTTGCGACCCCATGGCCTGCAGCACACCAGGCTTCCCGGTCCTTCACTATCTCCCAGAGTTTGCTCAAACTCCTGTCCATTGAGTCAGTGATGCCATCCAACCATCCCATCCTCTGTCGCTGCGTTCTCCTGCCCTCAATCTTTCCCAGCATCAGGGTCTTTTCCAATGAGGCGGCTCTTTGAATCAGGTGGCCAAAGTATTTGAGCTTCAGCTTCAGCACTTCCAATGGTCCATATAGTCAAAGCTACGGTTTTTCCAGTAGTTATATAAGGATGTGAGAGCTGGACCATAAAGAAGGCTAAGTGCCAAAGAATTGATGCTTTTGAATTGTGGTGCTGGACAAGATTCTTAAGAGTCCTTTGGACAACAAGGAAATCAAACCAGTCAATCCTAAAGGAAATCAACCCTGACCATTGTTTAATTTGACGTTTCAACAGTGCTCCCATCAGGTCTACTCCAGACTGGCCATGACCTTACAGAAACATAATCTAGAACTTCAAAGGAGTCCTAACACAGGCCCCAAACTGGATGATTAGAACCACCTGGGAGCCTTTGAGAATGAGCTTTCTCAATGCCAGCAAGTTGCGATTGTCCAGAATTGGAAATGACTTATCAGTAGAGTGGGATGGTTTTTCTTGCTCTTGAAAGTTTTGCTTATTTAAAAACAATTTAGAGAAATGAAGTGTTCATTAAGTTCTGCATCAGTTTCATTATAGGCAAATCCTTGACAGCAAGTGAGGAAATTTAAGGAAGGAACCCATTATAAAGGTGGATTCTAAGTGGCTTACTTGGTAAGGCTGGTGGCTCAAATGGTAAAGAATTGCCTGTAATGCAGGGGTCCGGGGTTCAACCCCTGGGTGGGGAAGATCCCCTGAAGGGAATGGCTACCCACTTCAGTCTTTTTGCCTGGGAAATTCCACGGACAGAGGAGCCTGCTGGGCTACAGTCCATGGGGTTATAAAAAAGAGTCGGACATGACTAAACAAATGCCTAATACTTTCACTACTATTTCACTTTCATAGTAAGTGGCATATGACGAATAGCGTGAGCTTGTTTCTTCAGCAATCAGATCCATAGTGGCTGCTTGAGAGAGAATTCCTAAGAGCACTGTAGAACCCTCTTTAGGAACCAAGGGGTTAAGAGCTTGGCAGTGAACTTATACCTAGTTGACACCTTCCAGCTGAGTGACTTTGGAGAGAGTCACTTAACCTTGGCGAGACCTAGTTTCCTTTTTTTGTATCATGACCTCTGAGACACTGTCTTCAAGCTACCTTTTTAAAAAATGTAAAATGCTGAGTATAGAGTCTATCACACACTCAACTCAAAAATGATGGGCTATTTCAGCAGACCTGGAGATTTTTAAAAATGGTTGATAGCTCATCATAAAGAACAGACCAATGAAGAAAGGTGGAGAGGGTTTCAAATAACTTACACACAAGCACCAAATGACACAGGAAGGTGGAAGAGGCGAGGGGCGCTCATGGCTTTTCAACAGTCTGCGAAACACTCTCTTGAATACAGACAATGTCATTTACCCGAAGTTCAGTAAGTTACAGGTGTTTATCTCAGGTCCTCAGCCGGCTGGCTCCCGGTTACTGTGTTTAACTCTGAGAACTCTCCTTCAGAGACTCGAAGGAGAGTGCTGCCTGGCCAGACTTCCCAAGAACCGTGGGGATCAAGAAACAGCAATTTTTAAGTCACTCAACAGAGGACCAGGCTTCGTCTCAAGTTCACGTGATCATTTTACAGGAGCAAGTATGCCTGTGGGAGGGAGAATGGGGTGTTAGGAACAGTGACTGCAAAGGTATCTTGCCCTCTAAGATTCTATGATACGAAATTTAAATTTTTAAACTTGGGATTTGGGGAAAGACAACACCACTAAATAAAGACCAATACATGCACGGTGTGTGCTGAATAAGTCCAGGCACGGATGGAACGCCGGTTTACGCTCATGCGATGCGTTCTGGGAAAATTTCTTTGGGCGACAGGAGTAGTAAACGTTTGCGGAAAAGCAGTAAGACAGCGCCCACAGTGTATACTTCTAATTTGTAAATGCATTTTAAGGAGGAAAAACAAAAAACACACGAAACCCCACAGGCACAAATAGACCAACTTTAATAGATATTATTTTGTATTTATATAGCGCCTTCTTCGAGAACCTTAGATGCTTTACAGACATTGTATCTAATTAATCCCCACAACAACCCTGTGAGGTAGGTATTACTCCCATTTTACAAGATCGGGAGACTGAAGCACACAGAGGTTAAGTGACTTGCCCAAGGTCACACAATTAAATTCACTGAAGAGCCAGGACCTGAGCGCCTTAGCCTCCCGGCTCCCAGCTTAAATACCTCATGAGAGAAATCTTCAATGAAAAAGTAGCTTTAAAGAAAGTATCAAGAGTAGTATGTTATGGAAGTGAGGTCTTTCTACTGCCATCAAGGAAAGGAAAAACTCTACACGGATGGTTAGAGGCGACGAGACCCATATATTACACACCACCCCCCTCCCTTTGCCTAGAGTCTCAGGGCTCCTGTCTCTGGCCAGCTTCTAAAGGTACCGCTGCCAAGGCGGAAGCCGTGTGACTTAGAAGTGAGACTTAATTTAGAATATTTACTTTCAGTTACAATAATTCATAGATATTCTTATTCCAACACACAAAACGTGGGACAGCCATCCCAACAAACATGTACACAGTCAGACAGCGATCACCACCGTGTACAAGCGAAACCCGCCTCTCCTTTCAGTCGGTCAGCCAACACACAACCTCATGTCGCTTTCCAGACGCATCACTTTTCTCCCTCTGTCTGCATTTCTCCCCCTAGCCCTAAACCCTCCGTGTTTTTAAAGCATACTGCGTTTCTGAGAAGCTTCGAGACATTACACATAGATGCAGCTGCACTTAAGAGGACAAAGTAAATGGAGAACCATCATGTCATTGTCCCGCCCCTGACAGGTCGTCCTATTAAACAGGGTGTAGATGTGAACAGTGTGCGACTACCATGGAACTCAAGAAGAACGTGAGAACTTGCTTTCATAGAAAATTTAACCTTGGCTTTTACTTTACTGTACTTTTTAAAATGCATAATGTAGTTTACAAACACAACACAGTATCCCAACACTGTACCTTTATGCAAATGACTTCATCTATCTTTCTTCTACATGCTGCGGCCCAATTCAAGTCAAAGCTGGTTCAGCTTCAGGTTACTCCTCGTCTCTGGACTGAAAGCTGCAGACCTTCAGCTTTAAATTACAAGACGATTTGGCTGAAGCCCTCAAAGCAAAAAAAAATGTATGCACCTCCAGAGCTCTGAGCTTGCCCGCATTCTTGGTTGTGATTCTCTGAGCCACATTGGTAGATTGGGCAGGCCATGTAATTTGTACGAAACCATCCCAGCCAGGGGTAAGGCTTTAGAAACTGTTATCTGCAAAAGCAATCTGTCAGAAGACATCATCATTTTCTCCCGGCACATTTATTTCAACAGCCCAATTAGCTAAGTGACCCTGTTAAAGATCTATTCGTGGAACGAATAGGTGAAGTCATTTCCTGAGCTAAAAGATACAGATAATAAATGTTAATAATAGCAGCAGACAAAAACATTCTTCTTTGTTGCTTTTTTTTTCAGATTCGACAGTATTAGTAAAATAAGTTTAGAAAATTACAGCAATTTAAAAAAAAAAAAAAAGATTACTGCCTGAAAAAGACTTGGATAAAGAACATCTAAGACCTGATTGCTATTATCTTGAATATATATTCAATTATTTTCTGCAAGTTACATTCGGCCACTGTCAGACAACTTACTGATGTATAGGAAAGTGTCAACCACAATGGTTTACATACATCTTACATCACGCATGTCACTTCTTGAAACTCCCAACAGAATGAAGTCTTTACAAACACAAAGTTAAATTTCTAAACACTCTTCCTGTAAGATCTGTAAAGGTGGAAGGGGGGTAAAAAGGACTTGCTTTCAAAGTACTCCTGGTTGACCTCATTAATGCACTCCTCACAGGGTCTGTCAGCTCCCCAGAAAGGCTGGGGCTGGGATGGTCACTTCTTTCCAGAATAAAGAACATCTGAAAATAACGTAACTGCTGTGACATGAGTTTTCCAAACGTGGCCTCAGCCTGAAACAGAGAACTGAAGAACCCTCAAGACTAGCACACTACTACCGCACCAGGATTTCTTCCGTCATTCCACAACAATAGGGAATTTTTTTTTTTTTTTAATTTTACTGAAATTAAAGCTGAATAAAACTTACAACCAGGAACAAATATTTAGAGCCAGAGATATCAGTTCCTCCTGGAAAAAGAATAATTTACCTTCTCTCACTGCAATTTTTATTAGGGTAACTTATGATTTAAAATAGTTTAAAAATTCACCTTAAAAATAAAAACAAACGAGAGGATTCATTAAACTGACAAAAACTAATAAAAATATGCTCAAATTTACCAACAGAATCATGGGCACTTCATACAATACTTAGACTCTACCAGTTTTAAGTAAAATAAATAAGGAAAAAAATTATAATTACAAAGCCAGTCTTTCCCCTTGGGGAAACAAAAAGCCACTTTTGACCAATTGTTCCCTAGATATACATATACTGTATATGATTATAAGCTTCTTCAGAGAAGCAAACGTATTTGCCTTCCTGACACTGGATTCTAGTATCTGTTAAGTCTCTTTACATCAGGAAGGCGACTGCAAGTGTTGGGCCCAAAAAGCATTTCTGGTTTACGCTCGAAAAGACTACCCAGTGTTCTCTCTCTACGTGTCCAACCCAGGCACGCACGTGTGCGGCATGTTCAGCGTGTTCAGCATCACCTCCTGCCACCGTCAGTATAACCTCGCACAGACTCCCGTTCTCTCTGCTGCACCCCCAAGGAGCTCAATCACTACTGGTGCAATGAAGGAAGAGAAAATGCATGTCGGTTACTGGAAGGCTGTTTTACAAGAGGAGCTGGTATCTCTGATTTCACTGCCTTGTGCGGAACTGCACAGACAGCATGATACCTGAGCGAATCAATCAACTACCAGGATAGGAAGAGCGTGTTAACCCACGGTCTTTGCTTTATTGTGTGCAAAGTGTGCTGCTGCCCCCCCTGAGCTTCCTGCAGTTCTCTTTTCTTGGAAAAATCGGTGCTTGATCCTTTCCCAAATAACCAGAGAAGAAATGAGGCAGAAAGTCTCTTTTCATCGCAGTTCCCTCAGTCCCGGGACTGATAGAAAAGGATGTAGCCAGACTCAGAGTTCTTCGAGATATCTGATGTTAACCCGTAGAATTCTTCAATAGCTTGTGCATCTATTTTCTACGAGGGAAAAAAACAAACGTCAGTACAAAAATGAGCTCTTTGGACCACTGGAATCCAGTAAAAGCGTCAACCTTTCTTAGGATAATGTCTTTCATTTTCTCATTTGTAAAACAGCTCTGCACAATCAGAGTGGCTTGGATGATGCCCAGTATTGGTGAGAACGTGGAACAAACGGAACTCTCATTCACAGCTGAGAGTGCAAAACAGCACCAGACACAGACAAGATGCTTTTATCTTCTAAGCCTGAACATACCCTGTGACCCAGCAATTCTATTCCTAGGTACAGGCCAAACTATAAGAAACAACTAATTGAAAAAACAAACAACAAAGAAAAGAAACAACTAATTGTCTATCATTTGGGATCTATGAATATGGCAATTTCATAAGGTCCAATCTAATATATACTCAAGAAAAAAATGAATGCATATGACCAGTGAAAGACTTATACAAGGGTAACCAAGGCAGTTTCATTTTAATAATCATTAATGGACAAAAAGCCAAGTTTCTAACATGGTACATTTGTACAATGGAAAATTAGATAGCAATATAAAAAAAAAGAACTACTACTGCAGGTAACAAGAATGAACTGCATAAATACTAATGAGTGAAAAAAGAGACCAAAGAAGTCATACTGGATGAGTCCACTTGTATTCAAACACAGACAAAATTAACCCCAGTAAGATAATAAAATTAGAAATAGTGGGTTCCAGGGGATGGGGGATGGGGGAGGAAAGCTGTAGGTACTGAAGGGGAAAAGGAATAAGAGAGCTTGTTGGGGTGTTGAAATACACCATTTCTTGATCTAGATGGCAGTTAGTGTGTGCACTCATGTGTGTGTGTACACATGTAACAATTTAAGCTGTTGCTTAAAATCTGCATACTTAACTGTGTCTTATAGCCCAATAAATTATTTTTTTAATAGTGTAAGTTCTTTTTCTTTTCTTGACTAGCTCTGTGGTTGAAAGGTCTCACTTGTTTTATTCTAAACATTTTCAAGGCTAGCTGACTGTTCCAGCAGCACTGGAACTGGATATTAGGGAGTGAGAAGTAGGAATTCGATTACAACCTGAAGACCTATCATATACAATGAGAAGCTGGAAGGAAAAAGTCACGAGCAAGAAACACACATAACTTTGAAGGAAAACACGAAATCAGGAAACTACTTACTTCTACAATGTCGTCATCAAACAACAACCAAAAATCATGACTCTTAACTATTGCAATATAATGGCCTCGATTAGGACCACTAAAACAGAGAGAAATAAAAGTTAACTTTATACAAAGTTTATTAGTATTACTCTTCTATGTCCTAAATTCCATGTTCTGTAAAGGAGAAAAACTGAAACAGATACAAATGTTCCTTACCTATTCTTTCCCCCCCAAGAGATCAAGCTACATTGATCCAAACGTCATTTGGTTTTAAAGTAATTTGTACTCTACTTTGAGAGATATAACCAGTATTCTATTTATATAAAGCTATACTATTAAAATTCTTTGTTGCCTTTTAAAATTATTATTTTTGAAGTAATGTTCAAATTTGATTCTGCAAGATACTTAAGTAAAACTTTCTAGCATTTTTGTGGGGCAGGAGAGGCCAGAACACACTGAATTATAACTATTGAACGATGTACGTAGAATTATTTCTGAGTCTTAACCCTTGGCAATAGTTTTTCTTGAGGAAAACTTCCACATGACGCTTGAAAAAGATACTGAAACCTTGGATCTGCAATCAAGGTCCAACTTCATAAACTTCTCTAAACAAGTAACTTATTTTTAGTATTATCAGTGCTAGTTTTAAGTACTTAATTCTTAGCAACATGTAATTATTATACTTGCCTCTGTATTTCACTTTAAATAAATCTTGGATACAGAAATCTAGGAAAATGTAAAAATAAAGGTGGGGTTTGCTTTTTTTCTTTTTTTTGGCCATGCTACGTGCCTTGTGGGATCTTCATTCCCCAACCAGAGACTGAACTCGCGTCCCCTGCAGCGGAAGCTGGAGTCCCAAACACCGGACCACCGGCAAATTCCCTAAAGGAAATTCTTTTTAAAGAACATATCAAAGACTTTTTTTAGCTGCTCCCAGTTACTTAAGGACGACTCACTAGAAAAGTTTATATAATTTTTTATTAAATTACAATTCTACCACAGTTATTATATTATAGGCCTTGAAAAAATTTTCAACACAAATTATCCTTTATGGTTCTGAATACGATTTTAAAAGCAGCAACCTCAGATCTGAGAATAAGCTGCCTCCCAGTTTCTTTAGATCTTTGATCCTGTAGTTAAAATTAGTATCTCTGTTGACAGAAAGATATGAGGAGAGCACATTTTTCCTGCAGAAGAAAACATCTTAAACTTAAAAAAAAATTTTAATGCTAACATAAACCTCCAGTCTGATCATTACAATAGGGTTCTGTAAGTTATCTGATACTGCTTTCCTCTGTTCAGATGTCATTACTTACTTAAGAAACAGAATGCTCCAAAAATGGAAAAGCAAGATTACTGCTGAGGATAAACGACAGGAAATGGGCCAACACAGACTGTGGAGGTTAAAGACTGTGAGAGACGTGGACCCGCCTCCCAGCTATCTCAACATATTCTGAGCAGAAGGGTGGGAGGAAGGGACAGCTAACGAGAAGCTGGGATACAATACGCTGTTAGTACGAGGGGAAATGGAGGAGTGTCTCGTTGTAAAATTATCACAAGAAGGGAATTTCTCGGTGGTCCAGTGGTTAGGACTCACACTTTCACTGGCTAGGCCCTGGTCAGTCCCTGGTGAGGGAACTAAGATCCCACAAGCTGTACAGTACAGCCAAAGTGGGTGTGTATGTGTGTGTGTGTATATATATATATAAAATAAAATACAGGAAATTATAAACAGTCAATGAAGACTTATGTTCCAAACATAAATGTTGATTATGAAATGCTCTTGTGGTCTGAGAATCTTTTTGAGTTATTTTATAAATTAAGATCTATAGATGAGACAGTACACTAAATTAGCTAATAGGAAACACACACATAGACTTGTAAAATCAGAAAACTTATCTTTGAAGGTTATTTCCAAAGCCTTCTTAAAGTGTTTTTCCTAAATTATTAACATGATGAACATATCCAACTAGTCTTAGATTTATTTTGCAAAAATAATTTATTTTATAAAATCTCTTTAAGCAGCATTTTTTTTTTTTAAACCAACAACCAAGAAAAACCAAAAAGAAAACTAACAGGACTTAAAAGTTCTCAGAGTAATATTTAGATGGTGGTGGTGGTGGTTTAGTCGCTAAGTCATATCCGACTCTTTGCGACACTGTGGACTGTAGCCTACCAGGCTCCTCTGTCCATGGGATTCTCCAGGCAAGAATACTGGAGTGGGTTGCCATTCCCTTCCCCAGGGGATCTTCCCAACCCAGGAATTGAACCCACGTCTGATGCATTGCAGGCATATTCTTTACCAACTGAGCTACGAGGGAAGCCCCTATTTAGATAATAAGAACAAATATCAGATCCAAGCAATAACACACTATTTTAACATATAAAAGTTTTAAGGAGATGGTAAAATGGATCTGAAATACTCATCCTGAAATAAACGCATCTCGGTCCGAGAGCACCGGGGGTACAGAATCTCTGGCAGGCCCGCCTCTGAGAGGCTCTGGGATGTCCTGTGAGCACTGCCCATCCCCAGCCTCCTGCCGGCACGGCCCACGCCCATTACCTTCCACAGTGAACCACGACGGCCACGAGGTCATACATTCTGTCAGGATTGGTCGCATCGCCTGAAGTGTTAAACAGACGAAGTTCTAAAGGAAAAACCACCCGGTAAGAAAGTTTTGTGTATCGATGAAGTTGATCCATATACTTAAATCTTTTCAGATGCAGAGCTAGAATCATGGGCAGCTTTTTCACTTTCATCCTGTCAGAATAAACATGAAGACAGAATTTAATAACAGACATTCACCATGACCTTAAAAGAACTATCAAACTGCAGGATTCAATTAACCACTGACGGTCAGTTTTATTAGCCCGGCACTGCCCACTTCCGCGTATTTCTACCTGTGCCTTTTTTAAGTTTTTTATTTTGTGTTGGGGGCAGGGTGGTGGTGGTTTAGTCACTAAGTCGTGTCCGACTCTTGCAATCCCATGGACTGTAGCCTGCCAGGCTCCTCTGTCCGTGGGATTCTCCAGGCAAGAATACTGGAGTGGGTTGCCATTTGTGTTGGGGAAGAGCTGATTAATAATGCTGTGATGGTCTGAGGTGAACAATAATCTACTGTGACTCTTACATCAGCAGAGCAACATTCTGGCAGTCTTAAGACGGCCCCCTGTTCCCCATCATCTTCAAACCACACAATGAGATGTGGAACTCCATGTGGCTCCCAAACAGAGGACTAGCCCTTTATTTTAAGAACTCTGTACTCGTGAAATAGAGGTCCCTTCTGACAAGGCAGACTACAGGCAATGCCTGTGTCTGGTAGAGGAAAAACCGGCTCCTAAGAGCTGCTGTGAGCAGAGACTGAAATCCATTTGTTTTACTCATATATGTAAGTCAGGAACAGACTGGGAACAGGAGGGAGAGAGAGAGAAGAGCAATGAAGACCAGCCACTCAGGGTGTTTCACAGAGATGTAATACAGCTCCTTACTAACAGCTCTGACTGCGTGGATCCTGGAAAGGCGATAAAATAACCTGGAAACACAGGAATGAGGTTTATACCTGTGAAGTCCAGGCCTCCTCACCCTCAACAATCCTGAAGACCCCCTCCACGCCATCTCTGCTCCCCCACGTCACTGCATGGCAGCCTCTTACAAAATTCGCTGCCAATGCTTTCCCTTCTGACAGAAACAGCCGTTCTCCTTGGTCCTCCATCAGCACTTCATAGACTCACTCTGTCTCAGTACGGTTTGCTACACTACAGAATATAGAGATGGTTGTGGTCTCTCTCTTAGTCTAGGGCCTGGACTCTGGGCAGACAGGAACCACCTCTTTCATCGGATTTCTCCACCACCCAGGAATATGCCTGGCACACAGCAGGTACTTGACAAACAGTGCAGGGCTGAATCCTGCATGTGTTCAGTGAAGCAAAACACTTTTCATAATTAAAAAAAAAAATTTACTAAGCCACTGCCTCCAATAAAGTGAAAAAAAAAAAATTTTATAGCCTTATGTGAAACCTGCATTCTACAGATCTTAAGTGTGGAGGAGCAGCTGATGATCTCAGAAATATTTACTAACCTGGCCAGTGGAAAACATTAGTGAAAATAAATGTAAAAACCTAATCTTTCCTGGAAAACCAGTCAGCCACAGGAATCAACGGTCTTTATGCCCTTTTCTCCAATAATTCCATTTCTAGAAATTAAATCTATAACTTCAAATACAATATCCTGGAGCCCTCACTGAGACTGAGAAACAGGGATATTTACAATCTCAAAATACCTCCACACAAAATGCATATGAGTTACAACTGGGGAAAAAGCACAGCTTAACAGCTTAACACTGGGAGACAGCACCTCAGTCAAGTGACCAGAGAGAACGGCAGCAGTCACGGGACATACTGGGAAAGGCTGGCTGTGGGGCTAACCCTCAGCTGGAATCTGGGACCTTGATCTGGGGGAGCTCCCACTGTTTCCTAGCTGGTAAGCGGGTCTCGATGTGCCTGAACTTGTTCTGCAGATCAAATGGTTCATGCTGAACACCGGCTTCCCTTCCAGGAGCCTGTAGTTTTGGTACATGCCTGGAGTTTTGGTACACGCCTGATGGCTTGGCGGGTAAAGAATCCGCCTGTGATGCATTAGACATAAGAGACTCAGGTTTGATCCCTGGGTCAGGAAGATCCCTTGGAGGAGGAAATGGCAACCCACTCCAGTATTCTTGCCTGGAGAACCCCACAGACAGAGGAGCCTGGAGGACTGTGGTCCGCAAAGAGTCGGACACTGAGTGACTGAGCGTGTATGCACACACACAGGCAGGGAATGCCTAGGTGACCTGCCTCCAGTAAATCTCGGGCACCGCACTGAGTCTGTGATGAGCTTCTCTGGGAGACAATGCTGTCACATTCGATGCTGAAGAAACAAGTGTGCCCATGTGACTCCACGGGGACAGGACACTTTGAAGCTGGCCTGGCTTCCCCTTTGCTGATCAGACCTGTCACTGTTCCCTGTGACAAACCTTAGCTGTGAGCAGGACTACAGATGCTGAATCCTGCAAGTCCTTCTAGGGAAGCATCAAATCCAGGAGGGGTCATGGGGGCCCTGACACATGACACGTATCAAAATCATGTACCATTTAAAAAGAACACAGCCTCACCTCTGTGTGATTCTTGCCCAGAATACATAATCTGAATCTCATCACATGAAAACATGAGATGGACCCAAAGAAGGACATTATATAAAATAACTAACCTGTAATTTTTAAGTGTCAAGAGAGTGAAAGTCAAGCAAAGACTAACAAGGAACTGCTCCCGATGTAAAAAGATGACAGAGACACGAATGCTAAATGCAACGTGTGCTTCTGGACTGGATCTTTCTTTTCTATAAAGGACATTACTGGGACATTTGGTGATGCTAAAATAAGGTCTACAACAACAGTAACATATCACTGCTGCTCTCCTGACGTGGACAGACATGGTACAGGGGAAACCTCCTTGCTGGCAGGACACCGCTACCGAAGTCTCAGAATTGCGGGACGTCACAGCAGGGACCCGCTCTCAAATGGTTTAGGGTGGAAAAGCATTCTTGGTATATTGTTCACAAGACTTTGAGGCTGCTTCAAAATAAAAAGTAAAATAATCAGGGTGATGATGAGTCCATTTCCTGATACCAGAATACGGTCTTCACGGTGACACAATGAGAGGAGGCATGAATCCCACGGAGGAAGAGTGGGGACTGGAGTGGGCGTGAGGAAGGCACCTTTCCCCTCTTCTTTCCTCACCCAGAGAACGCTTACACAAGGAGGAAAGCTTCAAAGCAGAATCCTCTCACTCTACTGGTTATGGTGACTAACCTCTCACCAAGTGTGGATAGTCAAGGTAGCAGCTGAGCACTGTTTGCCTGGTAACTACCCAACGTGTTTGTCTAGTAATTACCTAATGAGTCTTAACAGCTGGTGATAAAATGAAGGATGATTATTCAATGCAAACTGCCAGAGATCACTTCTGGCTAGAACATCCATGGCCAAAGAATCACTATGAATTTCAGAAAACACTAAATTACCGTTTGTGTGCTTCCTGTTTGCTGCGACATTCTTCACAGTAATATTTGTATTCACTGCATAGAGTTTCTGTGTTGCTAAAACCCCTGTGTAAAATTCAAAATAAATTAGTTTTGCCTATACCAGAAAATGATGTATTCATTTAAAGATATTCTAAAAACCAAAGATAATCATTAACTGTCAAAATAAATAATTCCACGCTTACCTTAAGCAGTGAGTAATTGATGTGTTTTGTTCCACGTCAACAGAAAGGTCTAAAAAATCTTCATCTTTGCTGCTTATCTGTAAAAATAAGAGAATTAATTACCTTTGATTTCTTTAGATATCAGTAAATTACTGCTCCAAAATGACAGAATTAAATGTGGATTATTATTAGTGTTATTAAATAAATAAAGAACTTTTTTCCCCCAAGTTGAAAAGAAACTACTTGAGTCATGCAAGTTTACAAAAGGACACTGAATCAATACCGTCCGTTATATTTAGAGGAAAGCACCAAAGTGCACCTACGGCTGCTCTCCTTACTGGCAAAGGCTGGTGTGATGTGAAATCCCATCACTTCCCCGAATCCTGGTATTCAGGGTAGTTTAGTCACTCAGTCTTGGCCCACTCTTTCAACCCCACAGACTGTAGCCCGCCAGGCTCCTGTGTCCAGGGTGTAAACTATGCCATATACAGTAATTCTTAAAAGAACACAGGACAAGGCTGAATGAGAATGGCTGGTAAAGGACGATCTCTGTACTGTTTAATTATTTAAGAAAAAAATTACCATTTAAGAAAAAATATTAGCCCAACATGCCAAACTGAGCCTTCACTTATGACCTTCTTTCATTTACCCTCTGAATTTAACCATGTTCTGCTTGAATTATGAATAAATCATCTATAATGATCTAAAGTTACTACTTATTCATTGAACTGGAATAGGACACATCACTCATGCTGGCTGCCTCCCTCAACAGGATGCAACAGGAAGGACGTCAGACTCAGTCCCCCGGAGCAACCCCCATCCCCCCCAGCCCCCACCACACAACTCTACACATATAGATGGTCTGTGATGACGTTTTCAATAC